CCTCAACTCATTGGCTTTGTAATCTTTGGCAAGTTACTTTTGCTCTAAGCCTTGGGTTTTCCACCTGTAAACAGTGTATAATTACATCCACCTTATGGGTTGCCTTGAGCATTGAATGAGGTCATGGTCACTCCTTACAACCCCAGCTGGACCAACCATTTTTTGCAATAAAGCAGTTTCACCTTTGCATATCACAACATTCATTTCCACCATCTTTTATGTATATGTGGTTCAGTTCAGTCCCCTTATCTTTCTTGCTCCCTATAGACTTCGAGGCTGCTGAGAGAGGTCTGTTCACAATTCTGCCCTCAAGTCTATGGATAAGAAACCAGGGCCAGAAAGTCTTGTCTCTAAGCATAATGACAATCTGTGAAAAGGCCAGGCAGTCACGTAAGCATTTTGCAAAGAGTTGCAAAAGCAACCATGAGACAGAGAAAGCAAAATAATTAAACCTGAAGGATGGATGGACTAAGGAACTTTGAAGACAAGTATGCTCTGTGGAATATGAAAATGATGAGAATCTGCAGCAATGAGTATTAATCTCACAGACACATTTTCTGAAAAATTAAAGGCGATTTAGGAGTATTACCTACAGGGCCAGGGCTTTTATGCCAACATATTTGGTTTGTTTTGGAAGCAGACATCTTCTAGAATATATATATATATACACACACGCATATATTAATTGTACTTTAGATGAAGGTTTACAGAACAAACTATCTTCTCATTCCTAAAATATTTTTTAAAAATCATTGTAATGTTAGAGGAAAATGCTATTTACCACCACAACTGCCAAGGAGTGCAGATCCTGTTCCATGAACAGAACTTCTCTTGTCAAGGTTGGACAGGCGAAAGCAGGGCTGGAGAGTTTGGGGATAGAGGCTGGTAGAAGCTGAATGGCTGCATCGATCAAAACATAAATGTGGGCTTTCTACTGGCAAGCTCGTGGCAGGGATGAGGACAGGAGAAGAGAACGCCAGAAAGATAGCAAGGGGCACAGTTGTTATATAGAGTGTTGCAGCCAGGGAAACATCCCCACTGGAAGCATGGACTTTTAAAAACCAAGTGATCTAATATTCCAGTGTGAAGCTGTTTGCAGATTTGTGGCAAGTCCCCATCCATCCCCTGATCCTGATTGAAGCCTGCTGCACGCAATGTTTTGTGTGAATGAGATATTTGGGAAAATCCAGAAGGACTGAATCCATGGGAAATGATGTGATGTGGAGCAGGGCCAGCAAGGGTGGAGTGGAGCCATAATCCATGGGCTGAACTGAGTCAGAGCCAGAGGTGAGCACAAAATCATAAATCCTCAACACTCACTGCCCTTCTCCCCTTTCCTGGGAATTTACAGAACTCTCAAGAAGGACACTGGACTTCCCAGGGGGTCAGATCTTCTTCTTTAGATGTTAAAGGATAGAGGCGCTCCAGCTGAAATCTGGGTCACATTCATAAAATGTGCATTGCCTCCTTGATCTTGTCAACCACCATTTTGCTAACCGTTTAACTTTTCAGGAATGTAACCACAGCTTTTGGGGAGGGTTGCTGTTTGTAAGGAGTCCCCGGGTGGCTCAGATGGTTAAGCTCTTGACTACTAGCTGAAAGGTTGGCAGTTCGAACCCATCCAGAGGTGCCTTGGAAGACAGGCCTAGCAATCTGCTTCTGAAAGGTCACAGCCTTGAAAACCCTACGGAGCAGTTCTATTTTGCACGCATGGTGGGTTGACACGAGCTGGAATCGACTCGATGGCAGTGAACAGTTCGTAAGCTAGTAGACTACAGTGGTTAAGAGCAGGGACACTAGAGCCAGATAGCTTGAGTTTGGACCTTGGCTCTGCAGCTTCTTAACTATGTGAGTTTGGACAAGCTATTTCACCTCTCTGAGCCTCAGTTATTCATCTGTAAAATGGGGGTGATAATATAAATATTCCATCCAGAGGGCTTTGGGGACAATCAATTATACTATTGCAGATAAAGTGGGCAGAACAATTCGCACAGTCATTACATAAGTCCCTAAGTAAGTCTCAGTGCCTGGGACATGGTTAAAAAAAAAAAACAAAAACAAACCAAACCCACTGCCATTGAGTTGATTCTGACTCATAGCGACCCTATAGGACAGAGTAGAACTGCCCCACAGGGTTTCCAAGGTTGGTGGGTTCCAACTGCTGACCTTTTGGTTAGCAGCTGAGCACTTTAACCACTGTGCCACCAGGGCTCCATTGGCATGTGGTAGAAGCTCAATAATTAGTAATGAGGCTGCCTGTGGGTTCCCTGACCTCTGCTCAAACCTACTCAGAATCCTGTGTCTTGGCTCCAGGAGGGGCAGAGCCCCTTTCTCAGGTGTCTTCAACTACCCTCTGCCCTTGGGTTTTCTAGAACATGATAAAACCAGGTGAGCCCCATGCTGGCAGTAGCACTGGGGCTTTCTCCATGGGAGTGGGGATGGTTCAGTGCAGCCCGTCCCCTCTCCTGGAATAAACACACGCCAACTACCGACAGGAGAGCGTTATTGTCCTCTCTAAGGGAGGGCAGTGTTTTATTTAACAGACTCTACGCAGTAGGAAAGCAGGTGCTACTCTTCAGGTGGTAAGGGCAGAAGCACTCCTGCCTTTGGGGAAGGCTTTCGCACCCCATAGGCAGTGCCACAGGGACTGCTCAGCTCTCTGCCTTTGGCTCGGACCCTTTGTCTTCTGAGTTGTGGCTCGACTGCATGCGGAGAACTTGTGCAGCTCCAACGTACTCTGGGGGAAGGGGAGAGACAGCAGGCAGGAGAGGATGACGAGGAGGGGCCAGGCCCTAGCTGGAGCTGCCCTGGGGGCCCAGCAGACCCCTCATCTCTGCAAGGCCACCGCTGACGTGTGAGAGCAGAGGGAAGACGCCCAGCTTGAGCTCAGGTTCTCCTCTCAGTTCTGCTGGTGACCTGGGACAAGCTGCTTCCCTTCTTTGAGCCGCACCACCACCCTCTCTCAAGAGTCAGGTAACAGATACCATATCAATTAAGCGCCTAATCCAGACACTCTGACAGCTCACAGGATCTCAGGCTGCCTGCAGGGGCCTTACAGTCATGTGTGTGTGTGTGTGTGCGTGCGTGCGTGCGTGTGTGTGTGTGTGTGTGTGTGTGTGTGTGTGTGGCAGGGGAGGGGAGATGAAGCACGTCTTGGATATCTATTCACTACCTCCTTCTGGCTAGTCCCTGGGTGGTGCAAACAGTTAAGCACTCAACTACTAGCTGAAAAGTTGGTGTCCGAACCCACCCAGGGGCGCCTGGAAGTCAAGCCTGGTGATCTGCTTCCGAAAGATCACAGCCTTGAAAACCCTATGGAGCAGCTCTACTCTGCACACATGGGGTCACCGTGCTCAAAGGCAACTAACAACAACTCTCCCCAATACCCACCTCCCCCCCAGGCTACGGCACAGCCTCATCCCTACTTCCCAACCTCCACAGTCCATTCTCCACACCGCAGCCAGAGGGATTGTTTTAAAATATTTCCAGGGCTCAGGGCACCCACCCAAAAGAGTCACAGGACTTGCATTTCCCACCAGGCCTGTGTGGACCGCTTCCGCCGCCCAGCTCAGTTCTTACCACTTCCCTGTCACAAGGCCCGGCACCCTGGTCTACTTGCTCTTCCACAAACACTCCAGGCTCATGGTTGCAGGGCCCCCCAGACCTAGGTGGCTGGATTTTTTCCAGTCCTTCAGCTCCAGGCGCTCACTCCCCTCCCCCAGTCTCTCTTCCTATCCATCACATCACCTGCTTTATTTTCCTTCTGGCTCTTGCTGCCTGCAGATGGTTTTCTCATGTGCTGTCTGCACCCTCCTCACTAGAACGTAAGCTCTGGGAGACAGGAGCTTGTCTGAATGCCTTCCCCGTGATTCCCAGAGCCCAGCACATAGTAGGTGCTAAACAGGTATTTGTTGAATGAATGAATGAATGGATAAATATTTGAACAAATGAATGGACAAAATGAGCAGCTTCCTTGGGCAGGGACCCATTTCCAAGGTGCCTTGACTACTCTGAGGAATCTAGCCAGGGAGCCCCCAGATGCCCCACCGCGTGGAATCTTACCTGGCTTTTCGCTCCTTGGTACAGGTGGTGACTTCGTCTTCTTCGAGGATTGACTACAACCAAATGCAAAGGAGAGGCTGGGAGGTGAGGCTGGAATCCACTCGGCCAAGTGCAAGGTGAGGAAGGGGGTGCAATCAGCTGTCTACTCCAGGAAGAGGCAAGAAGGGCCCCTCCTCAAAAGCCCCAAAGCATCTGTCCATGGCTGTCACCAGGTGGACTTCCTGCCCCACCTCAGGAAGGACTCCATCACCTGCCACGACCACTGAGAACCAAGGCCTGGTAAATCCCTGGAGCTGTAAGGGAGGCCTGGCCTGCTGTATTAGAATCTCTAGGAATCTGCATTTTAACACACTCCCAGGGTGACCCTGAGCCCTGCTGGGCTTGGGAACAACAGCTTTAGAATCAGTCAGGCCTGAGTCTGAATCCCAATTCTTTTGCTGACCAGCCGAGTGACCCTGGGCAGGTCATTTTCTCATATGTAAAACGGATGCAATACTGTCTCAGTGAGCTGCTGTGTGGACTAGAAAGATGTAAAATGCCCCGCGGTGCCAGGCAAGCGCAGTGGGAACCCCGTACTGCGTTACATTGCTGCCACTTAGGCACTACTCGCCTGCTTTGTGAGGCCTTCCCTGATCTCCCTTCCCCTAATTTGTCATCCTCCTCCTCTGGCCATCTCACACCCACAGAAAGGAACTTCTGCATGCCCTGTGTTAGCATTACTTCTCTACCTGCGTCTTCCCACAGACCAAGAGCTTCCGGAGGGCTAGACACATCTTACCCAGCCCTGTGTTGCTGCCACGGACATTGGTGACCCCCTCGGGCCTCCCCTGCAGCCAGCAGCTCTGAGTCTGGCCTAGCCCAGCAGGTCTTCCAGCAATGTGATAGGATTGGAGCCACGGCCAGGTTCCCTTCTCTAGGCCCCACCGGCCTCACCTGTGAGTGCCTTGGGAACAGAAGATCAGGTGAGGGGGGTGAAGCCCACCTGTAGTATGGCTGTTGCTTCTCTTGGGGTGCATCTTGAGCTTCTTGAAGCTGGTTCAGGAGTTTTTCTGTCGGAATAGAGACTAGGGGCTGGGAGAGTAGCTGAGCAACTGCTGTCTGCAGGAGTCCCAGCGCCAGGTCCTTTTCTGTAAGCACAGCCCCGGGCAAGGTCCTCAGGGCAGGACCCCAAGGGCACCCTTCTTGCGCCTGGATGGGGCAGGGAGCAGGGCCTCCAGCACTTCTGTCCCACCTGCTCCAGGGCAGCTTTCTCTAACCCTCTCACCTTTTGCTCAGAGGTCCCCACGACGGAGATCCCAATGAGGGAGGCCCCCACTTCTCTCCTTGCCCCTGTGTGTGCAGAGCCCCGGCCCCTCCACGCCCCTCTCTCAGCGTACAGTCACATGTGTACCTTGTTCCTGTGCCTCTCTGGCCTTCCTGGCCACCCCCTTGCCCTCTCTGGGAAGCCATCAAGCCTTCACTCTCCAGGAAGCCTTCTCCAATGAGCCCTCATTCTCCTCACCCCTCGCCCTTCCACTTACTCCTCCCCCTGCCCCTTGTGCACTGTAGGTGTATTCTTGCGCCCACGAGTGTACCCGGGTGTTCTTAGGTGTGTGTATTTGTATCAGTGTGTCACAGTGGTGGTGTGAGAGGCTGTGTAGAGCTAAATATGGCCCATAGATTTCTCCCTCCCAGCTGTCTAGGTGGCCTCAGCACGAAGAAGGGGTCGCCTCAAAGGAGAGAGGCCACAGAAACCCTGCTGAGGAACAGCAGAGGAGAGACAGTGCCATTGGCAGCTGGAAAGGGTCAGTTTGAGGCTCCAAATAAGGAGAAGAGGCCCAGACTCCCTGTGGTGGGAGTCAAGCGACATTGGAGTCCTGTGGAACCAGAGAGAAGGAAGGACCTCAGCAGCTGCCTGCCTTACCCTTTGGGGGAGCACAGAGTAGCCAGAACTGGATGGCGCTCAGTGAGTCTGTTTGCAGGATCTGGCAGAGGAGCTCCAGGATCTGTGGGCAGGAGGAGGGTGTGGTCAGTGGGCTGGCTGGCAGGTACGGCCAGGAGCCCAGGTGAACCTGGCTTCAGAGGGCGTGAGGGCTCCTCTCCTATAGCGGGCTCCCAGAGCCACATGCTTAGCTAAACTGGTCCCCACAACAGTCCCTGCTTCCCCTCTGCAAGGGACTTGGCACATCACAGAGGGCTATCTCTCCCAACAGCCCTGGAGGAAAATTCTTGGCCTCCCACAGGGCAGGTGAGGATCAGAGGCCTGGAGAGAGGAGGACACGTAGCAGGGAGCTTGTGGCAGGACTAGGCCTCAGAAACCAGATATGTGGACCCCTCACCCCTTCAGGACTCTCCCCGGGGCCCCTCACTGGGAAGGCAAAGTCACAGCTGGCCAGGCAGCGCCTCAGAGATGCACCGAGTCCCAAATGCGCTGGTCCTTGGCTTGGGGATTTTGAGAACCCCACAGATCTCCCCACCCTGAAGCTCCCCAAGTCTGGAAGTGTTAGCAAAGAGGTGAGGTGGTCCCAGTGGGTGGCCTGAAGGTCAGGGTTGGCTGGCTCTGTACATGACTCAGCCTGGGGTGCCTTCCTGCTGATCAGCGTGTACACTTGGCTCCCAGCCGCCTTCTTAGCCTTTGGCATCTCTTCTACTTCAGGGCCCGTTTTCCCCCATGCTTGCCAGTCAGGGATCATTGAGAAAAGATCCAGCTCTGTCTTGGACAGGCTACGGGGGATCCCTAGGCCAGGTTGCTGGTGGTGGCAGTGGCTATGGCTGGCTGAAGTTGGGCGCCTCCGTGGGAGGTGGAACCCCTGGAGTCCTAGGAGAGTGGGGTCTCCTCAGCTCTTGGCAGCCAGTCATCCCAGGACCCAGAGGGGCCTTTATGCCCCCAGCAGGTCTGCCTTGTCCTTGGCAGACTGGGAAGTGTGCAAGGCCTATCCCCACATCTATACGTGCTTGGGTGCCCACCCTCACCCCCAGGTCCCCATCCACTGTGGTTACCCACCCTGGTATGCTCCTGGGCCCTTCCCCATTCTCCACATCCAACTTACCTGCCCTGTGCCCCCTCCCCACGGGACCCGAGAACCTAATTCCAGGCAAGGCGAGGCTGCCCTGTGGTGGAGAAAGTACTGTGTTCTAGTCCCAGCTATGCTGCTCTCTCTCTGGGGGGCCTGGGCCAAGAAATGTCACCTGGCAGGGCCTCAGCCTCCCCATCTGTGGCATGGGGACCCCAGACCCTATCTGCTCTATCCACTTCACTGGCCAGTTTTCAGTCTCCAAAAGGACCACATGCCTGGAAGCACTGGACAAAAGGAAGGTGTTGAGATGCTTGGCTCAGTGTCTGAGCTTGTCTGGAGAACGTGTGCATTTAAACAGGGACCTTTGATGCCTTAACTCGTAGGAATGAGCAGTGGATTCATTTCAGGTCTTGATGGGGGAACCTGAACATGGAGGAGGTGGGCTTTGTGCTTTGCGTAAGCATCGGCCAGACCCGTTAGAATGTGGGGAGACAAGGCTGGGAGTAGCCTTGTAGTGCTATAGGGAGCAGCGTACCATCATGGGGAACATACTAGGCAGGACCTCCAACCCCCATGTCTCTTATTCTACCTTTATAGCTCCCTTCATGAGCTCATCAAATACCAGAGCTGGAACAGACCTTCAATGATAACGTGCTCACACATCCCAGTTTGTATAGATGAGGAGGCTAAGGCCCCCGAGAGGGCAAAGAACTTCCACAGAAAGAGAAAGGGTTATACAGAAACCTGGAGACAGCAGGGGACTAGAGCCCAGGCTCCTGACTTCCAGGTCTGAGGTTTCTGAGTCTTAAAAAGTCTTAGGTGACAGTCTCCTGGGAGCGGCCACACTTTCAAGCAGTTTGTAGGCATCCTAGGTGGGAGAGCTGGGAGCAGGAACCATCCTAGTCTCCCGAGGGCCCGCAGTTTCCAGCCTTCCCCGAGTCTCACCAGCAGCTCCTGGTCCTGCAGCACGAAGGTCTGGACTCCTCCATCTCGGCCTGAAGGGTGGTTGCGCTGGCCCTGGCGGGAGCTGCGGCAGCCAGTGGCATGGGTGGAAGCTGGGATGAGCCTCCCAGTCTCGGCCGAGTACTTTGCCCCCTGCTCTCGCTGTGGCTCCTCCTTTTGCAGGAAGAAAAGTAGCAGAGACTCCAGGCATTGAGAGATGGGGAGGGAGAAAGCAAGGAAGAGAATGAGGAGTCCAGGTCCCAGCTCCACCTGCCCTGCTGGCTCTCCCTCCACAATGTCATCCTCCCTCCTTCCTGGACACAGCATGACAGCATTGCCAGGGACCTGACGTATCGTCCAGGGCACTCCACCTCATCCTAGATGCCCCCTTCAGCATCTCTGACCCGCTCCCAGTGGAGAGCCCTTACTTTATAACCAACTGCCATCAAGTCGATTCCGACTCATGGTAACGCCATGTGTCTCAAAGTAAAACTGTGCTCCATAGAGTTTTCAATGGCTGAACTTCAGGAAGTAGATCACCAGGACTTTCTTCTAAGGCACCTCTGGGTGGACTAGCGCCTTTCAGTTGGCAGCCAAGTCATTAACCATTTGCACCACCTTCCGTTATAAAAACCCATTGCTGTCGAGTCAATTCCCACTCATAGCTAGTCTATAGGACAGAGTAGAACTGCCCCACAGGGTTTCCAAGGCTGTAATCTTTACAGAAGCAAACTGCCACATCTTTCTTCTGCAGAGCAGCTGGTGAGTTCAAATCACTGACCTTTCAGTTAGCAGCCGAGCGTTTAACCACTGCACCACCAGGGCTCCCCTTCCGTTATAAAAACCCAAACCAGTTGCCATTGAGTGGATTCCAACTCATAGCGACCCTGTAGGACAGAGTAGAACTGCCCCATAGGGTTTCCAAAGAGCGGTTGGTGAATTCAAACTGCCAACCTTTTGATTGGCAGCCCAGCTCTTAACCACTGTGCCACCAGGGCTCCCCTCTAGGGCTTAAACTAACAAAAGCTCTTCCTCCTGGAAGTCAGCATCAGAAGATTGAAAGCTAGACACCCCTTTGTGGTCCTCCTCCTTCCTCCTGGGCAGGTCCTCCCCACTGCTGCTTCCCATCCCCCCTCCATTAGAGATTTAAAAATAGCATCCTGTGCTAAAGCTCCCACTGCCTGCCTTAATTTCTAGCTCAGCCGCCCCCAGGTCCTTTCCACCCGGCAGCTTGACATCCTTTCTTTGTCCTGGGAATCCCTCCTCCAGCCAGGCTTCTGCACACGAGGTCAGGGGGCCGCTGCCCCTGCAATTCCAGTTAAGACTGGTAATATCCATATCCCCATTTTCAAGATAAGAAAACAGAAACCCAGACAGCTTAGCTGATTGGCCCTGAGTCCTCAGTGAGTCAGCCACAGGGCAGGGACGGGAAGCCAGGCCTCCAACTTTCTACTCTGCCCAAGACAAGCCGCAGGACCAGACCCAAAGCAGCAGGCTTGTCCTCAGGCGGCATCCAGCCACCTTCAAGCTGCCTTCCAACTATCCTCACTGTTTTATCACTAAATAGCGCTCACGAGGTCACCCCCACCCTGTTGGAAAACCTGCAGTGACGCTCCACTCCTTATGAGTTTAGAGACTAAACTAAGCTTAGAATTGAAGTACAGACTCCGCCTCCTCGCATTCACAGTCATGCTCCCTTGCTATCTTACCCACCACTGCTCCCACTTACAACTTCGCTCCTCTTCCCCCACCCTGTCTCTAAAGATGTCCTGCATTTGCCAGCTTCGGTGTTTTGTGCCAGTTGCCTCTGCCCAGAATGCTCCCCAGTCCACTTGTAAACATCCCACTTATATTTGAGGGGCCCCCCCCATGCCACCTCTTCTACGAATCCTTCTTGAATTCCACCACCTAAGCATGCTGTCTTCCTCCTTTGATCCCTTGCTGTGACCCTCCTCTCTTAGTGTTCATGGGCCCTCCTGCCCAGAGCCAAGGGCAGAGCCTCCATCGGCTGGGTTGAACCTACTCTGGAGGGACTGTATTACAAAGGGATGGATCCATTTCACCTCATCACGGGGGAGCATCTTTGTTCTGCACCCACCTCTTTGTTCTTCATCTCATTCTCCTTGGTGAAGACGGCCACCCTGGAAGCCAGGTCCTTCAACTCCCTCTTCCAGGTCTCTGGGAGGAGGGGACAAGAGCCTGCCAGCTGATATCTGGGGTTGCTCCTGTGTCCCCTCCCGCTGGCACCAGGTGGTGGGACGGACGTGAGAGTGTAAGTAGGGGAGCCTCCTCTCCTTCCTAGCCTTCCTGCCCCGCGTCTTAAAGGGAAAGGGGCAGGTGGTGCCCTTCAGGGAGGAGATCAGGAATTAGAAGATGTGTATTTGTGTGCAGTTGCTCCAGGAAGGGCTGATATTGAGGTCTTAGCCTATGGTATCACTGGAAGACGCTGGAGAACATTTGGCTAGGTGTGCCTAGATGTGTATGGTTCAATATAGTTTTGCCTCTTTTGAGTACCTGCAGCCAGGACTGCGATTCAGCAGCTATAACTGTTCCTGTTATTAAAATATTGCACTTCTTCCCTGGTAGGTTGGCAAACAGCCACTGCTTCGGGTCTTCTGAATCTCTCTGCCCTGCACTGGCTGTGCTGGCCCCACCCCAGAATCACCCTTACTCCCAACTTGACTTTCCCACACCCCACTATCTGAAAGGGCAAGGCCCGGGAGAGCAGAAGCCTCCAGAACGCTGCTCCAGCACTATGCCTGATTGTTCTGTTTGGGCTGGGCATACAGGTTACCAATATTTCCTATAGCCTTCCTGTCTATATCTGTATGTCACATGACTGTTACCAAAATCTGCTTATTGCAATTCAAATACCTGAAATGCAAGCAGGTGTGCATTTCTGAAGGCTAGGACTTGTGGAGTGGGGAGTAATGCAGAGATGTATTGGCCCAAGGAGATGAGGAAAAGAGTGGGGTACCCGACTGGACCCCACAGACTTAAGGCAATGACCTTTTCCTTCCCAGGCACCTGCCCACATGGGGCAGCCCTCAGGGAGCAGTGTGAGTCCCAAGGGAGGGAGGGTGTGTGGCCCAAGTACGCACCAGAAGAAAGCCGAGGGTCTCGATTGGACTGTGGGTCTCCGATGGGGCCAGAGATGGTGGGCATCGTCATCAGACAGTGGGCTGAGATCATGGCCGGAGGCAATGGGGCCAGAGAGAACTTGTCCCGGACGACACAGACGGGCTTCCCAGTGAGATCTGTGAAGGGTTAGAGGCTGTGGGAAGGGGATCTGGGCGGACCCCAGGAGCTCCGGGTGGCACGGAGGAGGCCGGTGGTTAGGGAGAGTACTGGCCCCACTTCGTGCAGTAACCACAGATCATTAGAGCTGGGAGTGGCTCCCAGCTCGTACGACCTAGATCAGGTGTTTCTCCTACCCATGGGGACACTTAGCATGGTTAGGGGAAGGGACCCATCAGGGTCATGGAGCCAGTTGGGCAGGGGTAAGATAAGAACCCAGGCTTCTTGGTACCCTAGTCCAGGGGTCCTTCTGTCTTTCTATGGCAGGGGAATCAACTGCTGGTGTGAGCACCCAGGGGTAGGCCACATAAGGACGTTGGGGCGGGGGCATGAAATCACAGTCAGTGAAGGGAGGGGCATGTGCTCACATCACAGGGAGCCAGCTCTAGCTAGACCCTCTGACACCCTGGGCAAGGTCGAGTGCGGGGCTGCCTGGAGGAGGTGGTGAGGCAGATTTACTCGTGAGGACCCTTCCAGCCTAAGGACTGGGTGATTCCTATATAATGATTGAAATAGTTAAGCTTTGAGGACCAGCATGGTTAGGACTTAATGAGGTTGCTCACGCTTTCCTTCCTGAAGGACTTTCCTTTTGCTCCTAGGACACCCCGCTCTCCTGTTTCCTCCTACCTCATCTCAATGTTGGGGTACCCCGGGCTCAGTCCACGGGCCCTGCTCTCCTCTGTCTATAAGAATTCTGGGATGGTCTCATCCAGCAAGCCACTTAAAACACCATCTCTATTCCAATGGCTTACACGCTTGCATCTCTCCTCTGACTCCAGATCCAACTGCCTACTACTGTACACCTCTACCTAGCTGTCTAAAAGGCGTCTCACATTTCACATCCCACAAGTCCGAGACATAGTTCCTGATTCACCTGCCGCATCACACCACCCCTCCTCCCACTTCTTTGTCTCAGTAAACGAACTCTGGTTTTCCAGTTGCTAGGGCCGGAAAGCTTGACCCCTTACCTGCAATCATTCAGGGAACCTGTTGGCTTTACTTTCTCTCTATCTCTAGAATAGGGCTACTAAATAACTCTTCTATTGGTACCCTCCTGATCCGAGCCACTATCAAGACAGAGGCCAGGCTGGCCTTATTAAAATGTGCCACTTCTGTCACTTCTTTGCTCTCAATCCTCCAATGGCTTCTACCTAACCCAGCAAGATGGCTTAATGATGACTACTGTGGCCTACAAGGGCCACATGACCATCTCCTTTCTCTCCTCCCGTTTACTCTGCTTCCTTGCTGTTTCTCAGTCAGAGCCAGTATGCTCCTGCCTCTGGGCCTTTGCACTTTCTGTTCCCTCTGCCTGGGACATTCTTCCTCTTCATATCCATATCGTTTAGCCCTCTCTTCCTTTCGTTCTTTGCTTAAATGTCATGTTATTGGGAGGTCTTCCCAAGCACCTTTTAAAAATAGCAATCTCTCTTTCCCAGCCTTGGCACTTAGGCACTTCAACATCTTCTCTATTTACTGTTCATCCCCACTAAGAGTCAGCTCCACGAGGGCAGAGACTATATTTTTTTCACTGTTGTATCCCCAGGACCAAGAAAATGCTTGACCCATAGTTCATACTCAGTGTTTGATGGGTGAATGGCCAAGTGGATGAAATAGCCTGATTTAGACAGCAGAGCACAGCTCTGGGGCAGGCTTTCATCAGTTTCTCTGATTTGTGAAATGGGGAGCGTGAGCCCTATCCTAGGAGCCTGTGACTCTCTCCAGCCCCCTCTGAGAAGGAGCCTGGACTGGCAACCAGGGGCACTGGCTTTGAGTCAGCCTTGGCCACTTGGCAGCTCTGTGACTCTGGCCAAGCTCCTGTACTCTTTGGGGCATTGGAAACAGGGACTGGGGTAAATACTTCCTTTCCAGTTCTCCGACCTATTAGTTAGCCTCCCCCCGCACCCCACCAGCCAGACCCTGGTGTCCCGCCCTACCTTGGATGTGGGTCACGCGCTGGGGGTGGGGGTGGTGCCGGGAGAAGAAGGAGTGGTGGCTGAGGCGCCCAAAGCGGTAGGCACCAGGGGTTTGGGGCTTGGGGGTCCTCACTGCCTCTTGGGTCAGCTCGAAATCCACGATGCCTGGGATCACCAGTTCTCTCTGTGGCCCGCTGTCCCCGTGACTCCTTGGCCTGGGCCCTGACTTCTTCTCAGTCTTCGGCTCAGCCTTTGGACTGAAGGAGAGGGTCAAGAAGAAGTGAATAGAGCTCAGAGCTTATTACAGAGTCCATTCCTGAGGCACTCTGAAATCTGGTTTCTAGGGTTTCGCTAAACCCTCATGGTATCCAAAGCTCCCCCAGAATCCCTTCCCAATTGGTGCAATCCAGTCCCAGTGACCCTTCTATCCTAAGATGCTTTAGCAGGGAGCTAGGATCCATTTGAGAGAATTCAGGTGGAATCTCCCAGGGTCCCAGTTTTCTCCCAAGATCATCTTTAAAACCAGAAAGAGAAGCCACAGACCCACCTACTCATCCAAACACCTGGGATTGGAGAAAAGGCACCTTATATATACCCCAGGGGCAGAAGGCAGACTCCAGAAAGGGCCTCTCCCCAAGCTAAGCAGTCAGCAGCCAAGGAGAAGCCAGCTATGGGCTGTCACCTTCCCCCCGCCCTCAGGGGCAGTCTTTGCCTAGACTCAGTGTCCAGGGGTCAAAGCTGGAGCCAAGGCCAGACCATGTGAGCAAGTCCTTTTCCTGTGGGAGCCCCTCCCAGGAGATGCAGCTCTCGGGGAGGCAGCTGTCAGGGCTGAGACGCTGTAGGGAAGCTTCAAGTTCTCGCTTCACTGGTGAGAAGCCGTCTCAGGTTCCCTGTCCTCCACCCTGCACCCTTCCAGATCCTGAGGGTGCCGAACCTCTGTCCCTGGTGGAAGAGGTAAGTCCAGCATGGATGCAAAGAGGGACACTCCCCACCAGGAGTCTGGTGGGACAACCTGCCTGCTTGCTGTCTGCACTCCCTTCTCCTGGTGGCCCTGGCTGGAGGGAGGCCCTCTGGAGGAGAACGGATGGATTCTGGATACTCTAAGCAAGGCGTGCTGCCCCGGGACCCTCTGAGAACTTTGCTGACCAGGCCCCTGAGTTTCCTGTTCCATTCTTGATTCACCTGTAAGGGACCTGGGACTTAAAGAAATAAAGCAAACCTTCTCTGAAAGTTACAGTTAGCTGGTCTCCTCTATCCGCAACTAATGGAGGAAATCACCCCCTGAGAAACCCTGGGATTCCTGTGCTCAGGACTCCTACCTCCCTGGCATCATACCACCTCCCTACCAGAGAGGGGACAGCCCATGACCTGGGCTATCTGGGCCTGAGAACCTACTGGGGCCTGGCTGATAGCAGTGGAAGGAGAAAGAGGACTGCCTCTCTTGGATGCCCAGTCTATTGAGTTCCACTAAGACCACTTTTGTCTTTCACTTTGCCCTATTGCCCACCCCTGCACCACCACCTCCTCAGTCATTCGGGCAGGTCTTACCTCATCCGTGGATGTTCATTCAAATGGGTCCTCACCTCTGTAGCCATTGTAGGATTTCTAATGGAATAAAGACCAATGCACTTAATACCAGTGTTGAAGAGAATGTGAACAGCAGGAACTCTCACAGATGTGGTGGAAGTGTAAACTGAGCAGACACTTTGAGGAAAAAATTGGTAATATCTTGTAAAATTGAACATTTGCATGCCACATCACCCAGTGATTCTTCTCCCAGATATATATCCAAGAAAGACTCTTGCAGATGCACAACAGGGACTATTCATAAGAATTTTCATACTAACATTGCCTAAAATAGCAAAAACCTGGTGACAATCCCAATGTCAAATGGTATTGGAATTAATAAAGAATCTGTGCTACATTCACATCATGGAAATGAATGAACCACAGTGACACAAAACTACAAGGATCAAACTTACAAATATAATTATAAGTGAAGGAAAGCAAGTCCCTGAACACTGTATAGTATGAGATCTTAAAAAAAAGTTCCAAAGCAAGCAAAATTATCATAAATAAGTGATAAAACTTAAAAAAAAAAAAAAAAGGTGAGAAAATGCTAAACACAATATTCAGTTAGTGGCTATTTTTGAGAAAAGGTGGGAAGATGGGGTAGGAGAGGAGCTATCTTAGTTATCTAGTACTGCCATAACAGAAGTAACACAAGTGGACGGCTTTAACAAAGAGAAATTTATTCTCTCACAGTCTAGGAGGCTGGAAGTCCACATTTAGGGTGCCAGCTCCAGGGGAAGGCTGTCTCTCTCTATTGGATCTGGGTGAAGTTCGTTGTCATCAATCTTCCCCTGGTCTAGTCGCTTCTCCTTTCAGGGACCTGGGGTTCAAAGGATTCGCTCTTCTCCTGGTGCTTTTTTCTTGGTGGTATGAAGTCCCTTTCCTCTCTGCTCAATTCTCTTCTTTATATCTCAAAAGAGAGTGACTCAAGATACAACCTAATCCTGTGGATTGAGCCCTGTCTCGTTAATATAACTGCCTCTAATCCTGCTCATTAACATCATTTTAAAAAAAACAACAAAAAACCATTGCCATCGAGTCAATTCCGACTCATATCGACCCTATAGGACAGAGTAGTACTGCCCCATAGGGTTTCCAAGGAACATCTGGTAGATTTGAACTGCCAACCTTTTGGTTAGCAGCCGTAGCTCTTAACCACTACGCCACCAGGGTTTCCACATTAGTGTCATAGAGGCTAGGATTTACAACACATAGATAATCACAGCAGATTACAAAATGGTGGACAACCACACAACACTGGGAATCATGCCCTAGCCATGTTGACACACATTTTGGGGAGACATAATTCAGTCTATAACAGGAGCTCAATAAGGGCATGTGCTGTTGATATTGTTCTATTTCTTGGTTTTGATGGTACAATTATTAGTGTTCAGTATACTATTAAATAAATTTATTAAATGGATGAGATGATAGGTGTCAAAACCAAGAATTGTGATTTATCTAAACCTGTGGGCTTGAAAAAATTTTGTGTATGTGTCTATCCAACTATACCATGGACTGCTGTAAGAATGAACAACTCTGTCTTGGATGAAGTACAGCCAGAATGCTCCTTAGAAGCAAGGATGGTGAGACTTTGTCTCATAACGTACTTTGGACATGTTATCAGAGAGACCAGTCCCTGGAGAAGGACATTATGCTTGGTAAAATAGAGGGTCAGTGGAAAAGAGGAAGACTTTCAACGAGATGGATTGACACAGTGGCTATAACAATAATCTCAAACACAGCAACGACTGTGAGGATGGTGCAGCACGAGGCAGTGTTTCATTCTGTATGTAGAGTCACTATGAGTCAGAACCAATTCGATGGCACCTAACAACAACAACATATCCAGCTAACTGTGAATTTCGGAGATACACACACACACACACACACACACACACACACACACAGACACATGAAACCGAAGGGCTAGGGTTGCAGATGCCAGGGATGGGGGTGGGACAGAAAATCAGTGCACTTTGAGAATCAACCCTGAAGCCACAGAAGCACAAGGAGGGACCTTTGAGACCCCTCAGTGCCAGCCTTTTGTCAGGTTAGGGCAGGATGGTCGGCACTCCCTGAGCTCAGAAAAGAGGAGAGTCTTGCTGAGGTCACAGACCAAGGGACCAGAGCCCAGGCCTCCTGACTCACAGGCTCCTGATCTTTTCTGTAAAGAGAAAAACAATGGGCAGAGCTTCCTTTTAAGGAATTATGGACATTCTTGATGATGGGGACTGGGCTCTAGAGTACAGAGATGCTGCAGGCTTGGGGACAGGAGCTCCAAACTCCCATGCCCACAGGCAAAGCTACTCTTTAGAACAGAAACTTACAAATTCTTTTTGACTGTGACCACAATAAGAAATGTCTTTTTACATCAAGACTCAATTCACACATGCATGTGTACGCACTTGTGTATATGTACAAAACGGAAGCAAGAATGCCCTGAAGCAATCCTCACCCCGCCTACATGTGATGCACACTGAGACTTTGATCCTATTTTTTCTGTTTTCATTTTGTCAGTGTTAGGCATGACCCATTAAATTGACTTTATAAGCCACTAATAGGTCACAACTCACAGCTGCTGCAGAGAGGTCTGCCCCTGCTCTGCTCCTTCCTCTCTTCCCCTGGGCCCCCATGTGGCTGGGCACCAGGGGTCTGAACGCTCACATCAGTCCAGAGACACGGCTGCCGTCTTCCCCACGTCCACCCCTCTGGGCCCTCCCCCATGGCCAGGCTCCATGCCCATTTCCTTCCCCGAGAGAAGTCTCTGGACTCACCAAGGAACGTGCCCACTATAACATGTGGGGGAGAAGCCCTGCTGCCTGAGCAGGAGCCAGAGGACAAATCAGCATGAAGCCTTCTGGGTTCCGTAGGCAAGTCTGTCTGCTTTGTGACTGCACTGAGCCCAGTGGTTGCTAGGTTACCCATAGACAACTCCAGAACCACTCCCCAGCACCCCTCTCCCTCACCCCTCACCCAGCTCCTTTTCCCCTCTCCTGGCTTGTGGAGGAGCTTCCCTCTCCCTCCAAGCTTCCTCTCTACCTGGCGTCCAGAGTTTTCAGTGGGGACCAAGGGAGAAAACCAGAGACTGGGCCTGGTTTTGCCAGCGACTAGCAAGCAGAGAGGAAAACTGGCAAAGATCGTTGGTGGGGCTGGGTCTCTGCTTTGTCAGCCTGACTGGGCCTAGGGAAAGGCAGCCGATGCTGGAGAGGGGTCTGCCTGCGTGGATCCTGTTTCTGGGGACTGATTTCCAGAGGGGTAGATGGAGAGGATGAGACTGCCCACTTGACCCAGAGCCGTCCCTCCAGCTCCATTGTAGGCAGGACAGCCTGGTGGGATGAGTCTAGGTTTTCGGTTGGACAGGGTTCTTGATCTGGATTCTGACACTTCTTAGGTATTACCTAGGGTAAGTCACCTATACTGCTAGCGATGCAGAATAGGGGCAAGAATCCTGGATTCAAATCTCAGTTCTGCTACTTCCTGTCTGTGTGACCTCAGACAATCTACTGATGTCTCTGAGCCTCAGTTCCTGTATCTCTAAAATGAAGGTGATACCAGCACTTATTGTCACAGGATTATCGGGAAAATCAAGTCCATTAATATACACTAAAGTGTTTAGTTAGTGCAGGACTGGGCAATGATTCGTCCTATTATACATATGGTCGCCATGTGTCGGAGTTGACTCAATGGCAAATAACAAAGTATTTAAAATAGTGCCTGGTACCAAGTACTATCTCTTACTATTATTACCTTCTCTGGGCCCGTGAAGTGAGGTACCCTCACCTTCTTCTCGGGTTATTGCAAAAGACAAACAAGCTAAGGGAAGTAAAGCACGTAGTCATATGCCTGGTACACAAGAGATGCTCAAAAATAATAATTTTTAATCATGATTATTGGTAATTTGATGGAGGTAGGATTATACAGTGGGATGAGTCCTTAGTTTGAGAATTACCGTAGGTAATTCACTTCACTTCTCTGAGGCTCAACTAGGGCATCTGTAAAAGAGGGTTAAGGATAACCCTTAGCATACAGGGCTGTGATGGGGTTAGAGAGCATGAGGGGTGTGAATAGGTTCTGTAAACTATAGCACAGTTTGCAGATGGTGCCTGATGCTGTTGTAGGAATGAGGCCCATGGCCCTCAGAACTAATGAGGACTGAGTCTATTCGAGTGTCTTTGTTCTTAGCACCCCCCACGCCCCC